GAAGCAGCGAGGTGGACACATGACACGTGTTATCACATGTACAACAACATGTTAACACAGATGTTTTGACATGTGGCTGCTCAGTGCCGATGGGAAACAGATGTTTCATCTGGAGGAGGAGGAGGAGGAGGAGGAGGAGGAAGATAACGAGAGAGGAGGAGGAAGATAACGAGAGGAGGAAGAAGAGAAGAAAAAACACTACTACTCACCTGTGAGGACGACAAGATGAAAGTGTGACGTTCTTCTGTCATGTTGTAAACACACAAATAACATGTTAACATACAAAAAACATGTTAACAAACAAACAACATGTAAACACATAAAAAACATGTTAACACACAAAACATGTTAAAACACAAAAAAACATGTTAACACACAAAAAAACATGTAAACACACAAATAACATGTAAACACATAAAAACATGTAAACACACAAAAAACATGTAAAGACATAAAAACATGTAAACACACAAAAAACATGTAAACACATAAAAACATGTAAACACACAAATAACATGTTAACACAAAAAACATGTGAACACAAAAAAACATGTTAAAACACAAATAACATGTTAACACACAAATAACATGTAAACACAAAAAACATGTAAACACACAAATAACATGTAAACATACAAATAACATGTTAAAACACAAAAACATGTAAACACACACAAAACACGTAAACATACAAATAACATGTAAACACACAAACAACATGTAAACAAACAAATAACATGTAAACATACAAAACATGTTAACACACAAAAAACATGTAAACAAACAAATAACACGTAAACATACAAAAACATGTAAACACACAACAAACATATAAACACAACAAACATGTAAACACACAAATTGAAAACAGAAAACAAACTTGTCAAACTTAATTAACAAGTAGACGATAAATAAAATGTGATTTAAGGAACAGAAATAAAACAGATGTGATTAAAGGCAACAGATGAATCAAAGCCGATGTTTATTCTAAATGTAAAATGTTTCCCCGGAGACGTTTTGTTCACAACACAAAATATTAGTTTTGTGACGTCAGCGTGACCTTTGACCTTCGAGCACCGAGATCTGATCAGCTGATCTGTGAGTCGAGTCTTTGGATCAAAGTCGAGAAAATTAACTCAAAGCATTTTTCAGATGTCGCGTTCAAGAGCAACGAACGACCTGAGGACATAAAGCCACCGGCCACTGGGGGTCACTGTTAGTGAGACACACACACACACACACACACACACACACACACACGTGTCTAATTGGTTTTGAACGTGCAACCTCTGTTTTATTTCCTCGAATTTCGAATCATCTTCAAACTTGGTTCAGATTTGCAACAATTAAAACTTTGGAGGAGAATTAAAACTGAAAATCTAAATCGGTTAAAACAAGAGAAACAACTTCGGCTCCAGAGAAATAAATCCGTGTGTTGTAAAATGGAAATATTCTTCATTATTCTCTCTTCTTGTTGAGTTGAGTTCAGATAATTGTTCCTCCTCAGCTTCGTTTCTCAGTTTCTCTCTTTTCTCCCTCACGGATCCAAACGACAACTTCCACAATCTCATTACGTGTAATTTCATTCAGATAAAAAATAAACAGAGCCGAGAGAGAGAGAGAGTCCTGAGACTTCAGGTTGTTCGGCCTCTGGGTTTGGATCCGGTTCCCACGATAGAAAAACATCGATGATTGATGTCTGAAAACTGCGACTGTGTTTGTTTTGGTGAATTTGTCGAATCCTCGCAGGAATAATCTGAAATCAGAAAGTGGAAAGTCCAGTTTGTGTTTGTAGACGGAGCTGAGGTCAAGGCAGAGTGTGTGTGTGTGTGTGTGTGTGTGTGTGTGTGTGTGTGTGTGTGTGTGTGTGTGTGTGTTATTAGCAGTAAGTAGAGGCAGCTGTTGGTCGCTGTGTGAGTTTATAAAAAGATTTCGTCAAAAACAATCGATCAAACTCAAACTTTTCTCCTAAAGACGATAAAACGTTTGTCGTCACTTTGTTCCTCGTGAACTTTTTTAAAAGTCGTCAAACGTTGAACTTTTGTTGCTGATCAGCGACGTCACACACACACCAGGAGAACCGGAGCTTCACGTTCCAGAGCCGGAGTCTACGTACGTTTTTTATCCACGATCTCTGTCACGAAAAAACGTTTACGAAAAAGTGACCGAAAATGAGGCGGAACTATCCATAAGATTGTTTTTGTTTTCTTCCAAAATAAACGTCTACAACGATCGAGACACAGAAAGTTCCTGTTCGCTGATTTAAAACGTTCTGTGCGATGTCAAAATAAAAACTGTTGAGTGTGAAACAAAGAAAACAAAAGACGAAGCTGAGGAAAGAATAAAATCACAGCGAGTCTCTGAGAAGAATCCAAACTGGAGCTCAGCTTTATTTCCTCTGAACACGACTTTCTGCTTCTTCATCTCATTTTGTCGTTCGTTTAAAAAAAAGGGACGAGTCGGAGAAATCATGCAAACAAGTGAATTCATCAGTTTTCTGTTTGACACGTTTTCATTCTGTCGTTTTACAGAGGAAATGATTATCTTCATCTTCATCATCATCACCATCATCATCATCATCATCATCATCATCATCATCATCTTCATCTTCATCAGATTTGAGCAGGATTCAGTTTCTGTTCAGATTCACGTTATTGAGGAAAGATGTTGCTGCAGAAATTAATTTGGCTTTTTTGTTTAAACTTTAATAAATAAATTGAAATTCTGTTGTTTTACTTTTTATTTTGAAAGTTTAGTTTGTAAAAAAAAATCTGTTTCCTCATTAATAATCATTTTTATTGTGACAAGTTGAACAGGAAGTGAATTTACCTAAATCTGCTTCTTGATCACGTTTGTTTTTCACAAAGTCAAATTATTTCACGTTCGAATTTAAAATCCCATCGTTTGTGTTTTTTATGTACAGAAGAAAATCGTCTGTTTTTAAAAAAGAGACGTTTCACTGATGAAGATGTTTTTTTCTTTTGGTCACAAACACAAAATTCATTTTTACCAAACACACGATGAACAAAAGAAAAAAAGAAAAAGATTCAACATCAGATAAATTCTGTTTCCTGCATCTGGAGGATTTGTGGGTAAATTCACTTTTAAATTAAAACATTTTTAAATAATATTTTTGATTTGAAAAGAAGAAAAAAAAAAGAATTTAAATGTCAAATATTTAAATATAATTCATACAATAATTTTCTAATATTCACTGTTAAATTAGAAATGTTATTCGTGTGTGTTTAAATCAATGCGTCTGCGCTTGTTAGAATAACGATGAATGAACTCGGACGTGATGGAAGTTTAAATGTTTCCAGCAGTGAAACGTTCGGACGTCGTTGTTTTCTTTGGGAAGTTACAGTTTTCAGATTATTATCTTCATTAAAGCTTTTTAACTCTCAGGCACAAAAACCTTTTTGGTGCTGATGTAACAGTAACTGTGCTTTTCACGCTCTGAATACAAACATTAATATTTACACATCTGAGATCAGTTTGTGAATGGATTCAAACTCATCGCGTAGCAAATATAAAATAATAATAATCTGTGAGACGGCCGAGAGCCGAGAGCACGTTGGTGCCTCCGATGATCGACTTTAGACTGAAACTAAAAAATCTGAACATGAAAATATCAGAAACCTGAAAATGTTTCAAACAGACGATGAGAGAACGTGAAGAGATTTTCATTTCAAACAGATCGAACACATTTATTTATGACCTGTGGGACGATCCCCTCCACCGAGGACGTTCGTCTGTAATTAATCAACTCGATGGTCAAAGTTCCTCGTGGTTCAGAGCTCGAGTGTCCTGAAGTTGAGGACGGTGTCCCTCAGGGCTCTGTCCTCCGTCCTCTGAAGTCTTGTCTCTAAACAACTGTTCAACCTTCCACCTGGAAGCAGCAGCTTGATTAAAGTCGGACGTGTGAGTGTGAACAAAGTTTCCTCCTTCACTCCCTGAGCGTCCGTTCGCTCACGATCACACCAGGACACCGATCGGGTCAAACAGAATCAGGTGCGGCTGCAGGGGGCGCTGTCGCTCAGTAGCAGTTACACAGTGTTGCTTTCAGGAGCCGGAGCCACGACAGATTTTCTGGATCTCGTTTTGACGCAGATCTTTGAGTTTCCTTCCTGCTCTCACGCTCTTCTCGTCCTTGGCGGAGGTTTGCGCTCGAGTGTCGTTCTAGTTTCTATAAGAAATCTCATCCGTTATCTCGTCAGTTTTTTTCCTCCCGACTCATCAGAGCTGCAAAACTTAAATAACCAACATTTTAAAACAAAGTGCCCGAAGCTTGATATGAGCCAGAAGATAAATATAATTTATGTTTCTTTTTGTCCCTTCTTCTTTTTCTTTCCTTTTGTTCTTTTTTTACAATACATACTTCTCGTCTCTTTGTTCGTGTTGTGATGAAAAACTCGAGCGTCGTCCTCAAACGTTTGTGTCGTCGCTCGTTGTGCATTCTCAGTCTGTTTGCTTTGGTCGCGCCCGCCTTTGGCATCGCTGCTGCAAAAAGAAAAAGAGAAACCGGGACGTAAAGCTACAGACGGAACCGTCTGAATTTTTTGGTATTTCATTGTTTTTGTCCCGGTTTCAGGAAAAGAGTTTTCTTTGGAGGGAAACGTGATAGATTCCAAAAAGTCTCCAGTAAATATCCTCGTCCTCCGTTTGAAAGTTCTGCTGGAAAACAAGGATCTTTGGTTTGGTTGAATCAGGATTTTCTCCAGCAGGATGAACGAGGCTCCGCCCAGACGTCAGTGGGGTCAAAAAGACGTAAACAGTCAGAGGTCGCGTTCAGACGCTCGAATCTGAAAACGCTCTCAAACAACAACGCTGGTGTCGCCATCTTTGAAACGCCGGGAAAATAAAAACCAGGAAATCTTTTTATCTTTGTTCGAACATTAAACTGACTGAAGCAGCAGGAGGCGGAGTTTCGTGTCCGACCGCCGAGGCTGCATCCGTATGACTGCGTTTCAGTCTGACGCTCACGTGTCATCGACTCCAAACTAAAACTAAAATTCAGCCCCAGAGTTTTTAAACGGAAACAGAACCAGGATTGTTACAAAACGTGGATTCAGCGTTTTCAGATTCGGCGTTTTCAGATTCGGCGTCTCCGACGTGGACGAGCTCTCAGTCGCTCTCTGTCGGGGTTAATCCACCTCGATGGACTCGCTGCTCTCGTTCACCGGTTTACACTCGTTGGGAAGACGCTGATGACGGCTGAGCTGAGTGGCCTGTGTGAAGCTGCGGTCGCAACGCTCGCACCTGATACACACACACACACACA